TGCAGCAGAGCGCGCGCCCAGGCGCCTGGGACGGGTGGAGAAGCTCGGTGAGAACCGTTATGCTGCTGCGCCCACTCACCCTGCCATCTTCCTCCGCTACTCACCTAGTCGAGCCCACACACCCGGCTTTGCAGCCGCCGCGCTGCTCCCCTCTTCACCTACTCCGCGACCTCTGGTCCAAAACCTCTTCAGAGCCGCCGCCGCCATCCTCTTCCGGCCCGCGGCCCTCTCTCCGGATGGAAACGCCCGGTACCTGAAATAAAATGCCTGGGATAGCTCTTCTGCGCAATCGCCAAAACTAACGGAAGTCCTTTCCTACCGGAAGAGAATAGAAAACGGACCTGCGCCGGATGTTGCTGTAGTCTTAGGTGGGTTGACGCTAACGGGTAGGCGGGCCGCACAGGCGCAGAGAGCACCGGCCACGAAGGTTTAAGGTAACCTCAGGTGAGTTCGGGCAGCGAATTTAATTCTCCGTGGGTGTTGCTAGCTGCGGGGCCGAGCTCGGGGCTGATAGGGTCCGGGAAGGGACGTGGACCTGACTGGCCTCTGTCCCCAGAACGGGATGCGGTGACACCCCTGGACCACCATGGCAGCGGCCGACGAGCTGGCCTTCCACGGTGAGTGCAGCCCCGACGTGGCCGAGGCTTCTGTTTTGTTTTTTGAGACAGGTTCTCCCTATGCAGTCCAAGCTGCCTCTGGAACTCGAGGCGAGCCTCCTGCCTCCGCCTCCCGAGTGCCGGGTGCCGGGTGCCGGCGGAGGGTGGAGTTCCTGCTCCTTCCCCTGCCCCAGAACATCCCGACCCGTTTAACCCCCGGACTCGAGACCGCCGCGACCCAAGAGTGAGACCGGTCCTGTACTGAACCTCATTTCCACCTTGAATTCGTGTCTCAAACCCGCGCCTGCAGTCTGCAGCTGGGAGGAAGGCCACGCAGCTCCTCCTCTCCATGCCCGCAAACAGTCTGGGTCCTGTCCCGGGGGAGCGCTGGGGTGGCCACAGCCAGAACCTCAGCTTCCCCGCAGATGAGCAGTGGGCAGTCAGAATTGTCTCGACGACCCCAAAACAGGCCCGTGGCCTGTCTTCCCTCCCCGTAGAATTCGAGGAAGCCACCAATCTCCTGGCTGAGACCCCTGGTGCTGCTACCACCAGCAGAAGCGATCAGCTGACTTCCCCGGGCCACGTGGCTGTGGCGGTGGGCTCTGGCAGCAGCTATGGAGCTGAGGACCCCGAGGAGGAGGAGGGTGACAGGACAGCGGTGAGTAACCTGCATCCAGCCCTGCCTCTGTCCAGCTACTGGCTGAGCCAGGCTGCAGGCTCCAGCACTGAAACCCCACACTTTGCAGCTGCTGCAGGAGGAGAAGCCACAACCCGGGTTCTGGACTTTTGGCTACTATCAGAGTTTCTTTGATGTGGACACCTCCCAGGTGAGGCCTGGGAGTCACACTCGGGGTTCCACTCGGGGCAGGGTGCTGGGGACGGCTCCGTGGGAGAGCGAGGCCCCTCCCATTCCATACGAGGGACGGTGGTGCTGCCCAAGGACTGTGGGGACACCGAGGATGCACATGGTATGGACACGAGGCAGAGGCCTCTGGGGGAAGGTGAGAGGGCTCTTATTCGGGGGCTGTTTGTTTGAAGGTGGGGTCTTGCTGTGTTGCCCATGCTGGCCTCAAACTCCTGAGTTTAAGAGATCTTTTGTCTCCTGAGTGGCTGGGACTCCAGGCCTTGCCAGAGTGCCCAGCAGTGAGCACTGTTAAGAGGTTGGAGTCTGGGTTTTATGGGGAGGGTGATGGGGAGCCATGGAAGGTTTCTGAGCGGGAGAGGAGTAAGTGGAATGGGCAATATGAAAGAACTATGAGGCCAGCCTCGGTGACAGTGAGCATGGGCACAGAGGACGGAACATACTGCAGAGAGGTCCTATCCGGGGCTGAAGACCCACTGCAGAGTGGCAGGAAGCTGAGTGGCACCTGGCTAGGGGAGAGGGCTCGGGCCACAGGAGCAGCCGGTCAAGCGGGGAACAGCTGGGTTCTTTCAGGTAGGGCCTTGAGGGGAGGCTAGGAATCGGGCCACAGGAGCAGCCTGTCAAGCGGGGAACAGCTGGGTTCTTTCAGGTAGGGCCTTGAGGGGAGGCTAGGAATCCACAGGGAGAAGCCGTCAAGGCTTTAAGGCCCGGGAGGACCAAGGGGGTTCCACTCTGGACCTTCACCTCACCCTGCAGGTCCTGGACCGGATCAAAGGCTCACTGCTGCCCCGGCCTGGCCACAACTTCGTACGGCACCATCTGCGGAATCGTCCTGATCTGTACGGTGAGAGCTTTTGCGTTTGTGTCATTCTCTTATTCATTCAATAAATGTGGGCTGAGTGCCAGGCCCTGCTGCACAGCTGAGAACAAAGCAGTCACTTTCAGAGACTGGAGGACAGACACAGGTGACCAGGCTGGTTTAAAGGAGCCGTGTTGCTGTTTGTGGGTGGTGGGAGAGAAAGCTGGGCAGGCGTAACTCAGGGAGGGGCTCTCTCCCGGACTGAAAAGGTTGTGCAGCTGCTGCCAGTGGGATGGGATGAAAGCTGCGCGTGAGGCCCCCTAGGCCACGTGGCACACTGCCAGCAAGAGGGATCAGCAGTGACCTAGATAGAGTGGTATAGGTGGCTGGGCCATCACAGAGAGGCAGGCGAGTGCACCTGACCTGGGGACACTAGGCCTGAGACTGGCTTATCTCCCCCTCAGGTCCCTTCTGGATCTGCGCCACCCTGGCCTTTGTCCTGGCTGTCACCGGCAACCTGACACTGGTGCTGGCCCAGAGGAGGGACCCCTCCATCCACTATAGCCCCCAGTTCCACAAGGGTAAGAGGGGTGGCAGGCCCAACCCTAGCAGCAGCAGAGTGTCTGGGCCTGGAGGTGACTGCCACCTCATCCCCCAGTGACCGTGGCAGGGATCACCATCTACTGCTACTCGTGGCTGGTGCCGCTGGCGCTGTGGGGCTTCCTGCGGTGGCGCCAAGGCGTGCGGGAGCGTGTGGGTCCCTACAGCTTCCTGGAGACTGTGTGCGTGTATGGCTACTCGCTCTTCGTCTTCATCCCCACGGTGGTGAGTGCGGCCAGGTGGTAGATGGCAGCCGGGGCTGTGGGGGTGCCTGGTGTGGTCATTCGTTGCCTGTCGCCCCAGGTCCTGTGGCTCATTCCTGTGCCGTGGCTGCAGTGGCTCTTTGGGGCGCTGGCCCTGGCCCTGTCCGCAGCCGGGCTGGTGCTTACCCTCTGGCCCGTCGTCCGTGAAGACACCAGACTGGTGGCCGCGGCACTGCTGTCCACTGTGGTGCTGCTCCACGCCCTCCTGGCCATGGGTTGTAAGGTACGAGTCTGGTGGCCCCAGGCTGGGCTGTGGGTTGGGCTGTGCCGGCTGTGCCACTGACCCCCACATATCTCTGCTCAGCTCTATTTCTTTCAGCCTCTGCCTCCGGAGCAGGTGGCGCCTCCAGCACATGTGACATCTGTAGTCCTACACACACAGCTGCCTCCCACTGTGGCCCGGTCCGTGGCCACCTCATAGGAAGGTCCAGCCCCATCCCACAGGTGAGGCACTGCCTTCCACTGTGGCCCAGAGAGAGGCGAAGAGGCCTGGGCACTCGCAGGAGCCTCGCTTTCAGGCCAGACCTCAGGGAACGCTGCCTGCCCTGACCCCAGCGATGACCAAAGGCTCCCTCGACCCCCTCAAGATCACTCTGCTACTGTCCAGATTTTTCTTACAAAGCAAACACTTTTATTTTCTATGCAAAGGTGATCAAGAGAATTTATATAAATGTGGGGAGGGCAGCCGAGCAGGGAGCTTCCACGGCAGCTCGGGTGACACGGCCACAGGACAGGGCTCTGGATGTCCAAGGGGACCCTGAAGTAGGGGCACCCCGGCCCTGCCTTGCGCACACGCAGCAGGCCTGGGCCCAGCCTTACCTCCAGCTGGAGAGATCAGGGTGCTAGAAACAAGAGGGTGAAGAAAACTGCCTGTGCTGAAACGTACGTTCTCGTTCATTTATTATTTTGTTTTCCTTTTTTGGAGGGCGAGGTCCCTGCAAGGTCCCTTCCCCGGCTGAGGAGGGTCCAAATGCCTTTGCAGTAGTGGGGACTGGAGCATCTACAAGTCTGGAGGGGACACACAGGCCTAACGTCAGTCAGCTACACAGGGAGAGGACACCTTCGAGACAGCCTTGAGGTTTCTGTCTGCCTGTTGGCCCACGGTGACCGTCCCTCTGGCCGCCTGCACAGCTCTTGGCAGAGGGGAGGGCAGCTGCAGGGCTCGGGGACAGGACAGCAGCAGAGGCGGCCGAGGACAGGCCTGCAGACGGCGGAGGCTACATTCAAGTGTGAGGTGAACCCTAGGAGGGGCGCCCTCCCTCCCGTGGGGCCTATGCCAGCAGGGGCTGTGGCTGCGCCCGGCCGGCCGGGTTTCTCCGAGGGTCTGTGGATTGACACTGGTTCTTTTCGTAAAAAAATAAAATTAAAAAAAGCAGCATGTCACGCCCTTGGTGACTGTGGTGGCCTGGTAGTTGAGGAGAGGTCCCGCCCGGCCGGCTGCGCCTGTGCCCTGCAGATGGGTGAGGGTGTGATGCCGGGCCGGGCCTGAGGTGCCGCTCCCCTCCTCTGCCCTGGTGCTGCTGCAGCTGGCAGAGGTCAGCCGGGCAGCCGCAGGGCAAGAGGGATGAGCTCCCCAGTCGACATGATCCGGTGTAAAATATGGCAGCGACAGGCGCTCAGGCCGGGGTGGGCGGGGTGGGGGCAGCGGCAACCTGTAAAAAAGTGTCCGAGTCCCATAGCAAATAGGGCCGTGAGGCTTGTCCAGTCCGAGGCGGCCACCGGGCGGGCTTCATTTGGTTTCCTGGTGCTGTCAGTCTGAGGCCGGGCACCTAGCTCCCGTAGTGCATGGTGTTGGTCGGGATGGACATGGGTGACGCCATGGAGATGGCCGGGCCACCCATCGTGAACTGGTTGTTGACCGCATAGTGGGCACTGGAGCCGCCGCCACCGCCCTGGGCACCCGAAGAGCCTGTGGGCCAGACGGTGGGCACTGAGGGTGGCGTCACCCGTGCCTGCCCGGCCCCCCGGCCATGCGACTGCCCACACTGG